ACCCACCCACCCCACCTTGGTACTCTCTGCAGGTTAGTTACTGAAGCTTGCTTTATGCCTCATCAAAAGAGAGCAGGTAGAATTGAAGTGGTTCTTACAGTTGGATGGCCGTGTCAGCCTATATTCCTCACAGTGTTTGCATCTTTAGAAACTTCAAACTTCTTCATGTACAGTACATTTCCTTCAAATGAAGCACACACGTCAGTTAAGTCATCTACCGGAAACTGCCTTTAATGGAGTCTGCTGTCTTTCTGTGGAGGACATTAGGATTGTTATGTGAACTTTCTGATGAACTGGAAAAGCTATTTGGAGATTTCCTCGTCTGATTAGTCATAAAATATTATTATGCCTCTCCTGGTCTGATATAATTCTATAAAACGTTATATAGATGCGTATTAAAAATAAAAATTTGTGAAGCCTGTCTTATGAAAACAATGTTTGCCATAAGAATGACTGTGCAATAAAAAATATTGGCTGAATCACAACTTTCATAGCTTTCTATATTTATAGCATCCTAAAGGAGGGTAAACAAAATATTGCAGTGTGATATTTCTTAATACAACATTGTGCTTTTATTTTCACATCGGCCAATTGTGTCGTGGTCACCGACAGCCTGTGGGGTTGGTGGGAGTAGTGTCACAGCACACCAATGAAATGCCAGCATTGATGACTTGGTCATTTTAAATTTGTTTTGGATTTCTAGGAATAAGTAATGGTTACTTTTTACAAACTATGCCGTTAAAGTTGCATGAATAAACATTCATAAAGCGGTGTTTAAACATTTAAAAAAATCAATTTATTGACAAATTCTTCCCTATTCAGACCTCTCACTTTTAAAAGTCTGTCTGCTTGATGCACCAATATCACAGCATCATGTTCAGTTTAACAGTATTATCTTTATTATCACAATCATATCCATAATGTTAACTCCCATGGAGCACAGAGGAAAGGTTTGGTGAGCCGGGCTACAGAGAACTGAGATACGAGGTCTCTGATCCACGTAGAAGAGACTAAAACCAGTTTGTAATTAGAGATTTAGAAAATCACTCGTGCTGATTATAAATGCTCAGCGGGAGGACACGCCGCTCCACCAGAAACAACTCCAAATCCACAGTAGGGAGCAGATTCTAGAGGATATTTATTTAACATCTTAATTCCAGAAAAACAATTGTCAAAAATCCCCGCAATCGTCAATATATGATCCCATAAGAAAAAGGACAAAGTGATTCCAGAGAGAAGCGGACTGAAAGGTTTACAATATGTCTGAAGGATATATTCAGGATGTCAAACGGATTCAGCAGAGACAAGATAAAGATAGAAGCTTAAGTACAGATCACTGGCGATCAGTAGCTAGCGTAGCATAGAAGTGCTTACGCTAGTTAAGTTAACGTACTCTGCTAATGTTATCTCCACAAGGTTTTTTTTTTTTTTTTTAACGTAGAAACGTAACAGCTTAGAAACGTAGATCTTACTTTGACATTCGTCCCAAAGCTTATACAAGGGTGGAAATACAGGCTTGGTTATCATCGTTAATCTTTTATATATAAACGGCTCTGTATTGCCACATTTCAATACACCAGAGAACATGTACTTCACTGGAGCATTAACTGACCCCTGTCAGCAAACACCCTGATGACTAATAGGACTCATTTCATAATCTCACATCTTATCTGAAGGGAGTATTTTGCTTTTTCATTGCATGACAAACTTAACTATTGAAGTAGTGCTGATATGGGTAGTCGGTTAATCGATTGGTCAATATAGTCATTCATCCAGCAAAAGAAGTGCGGCTTCCATGTTCTCAAATGCGTAGATTCAACGCCTTTCTCTTTTCAATATTATAAATTCAATACACTCGAGGTTTGAACAGAACTAGCAACCTTAAGACGTTACCGTGGGCTCTTTAAACTTGTGATGTGCATGTGTCGCCATATGTTGACACTTTGTAGACTAAACAATGGAGCAATTAATTAAGAAAAATAATTAGGAGAGTATTTGGTAATTAAAACAATCAATGTTTGAAGCCTTCTATTGAATCCTCTTTGACCACTTCCTCCGGCAGACATAACTGTAAACAGCATTCTTCACATTCAGCTGTAAACACACTGCAGCACTCTGCCTTAATGCAGCTGCTTCCCATTGTGAATCCCAGAAACAACGGCGTAATTACAATTTGTATCTCATCGACTTGTAAAGTAGATGAGCTGATTGTTATGCTGAGACGCATTGACGGAATGAACACGCGCCGTTTGACGAAACACCGGCGCATATATCAACGTCGTCGAGGGTTTGGTTTGCTTTAGGATTGCTACACTAAACCATTCTGTAATGAAAGACCAAAGCAAGCTGTGAGCATCCACCAGTTAGCAAACATTCTTTAAATTATAACCATTTTATTTAAAAAATATATGTTTTGAGGGGGAAATGTTTTTTTTTTTTTTTGTTTTTGTTTTTTCAGTTTGGCACATCTTATCCACTATACAGATATGAAATTGTACATATTACAATACAAAAGGAAAATGGGAAGAGAAAAAGCATTCATTTTGCACAAAGAGGTTGGGTAAGAGAGAGGGGATTGGTTCACTTGTTTTTCTTCTTTTTTTATTTTTAGGCAGGGTGGGGACCAGGGCTAGAGGTGACAAGAGGAAACAGAAACAGTTTACAAAGAGCCAGAGTGCAAAGGGATGCATATTTCTACAAATTCTGTGGATTTTTCAGTCACTTGGTACAACCGCAGTCTTAAACAGTGAAATGTCAAATGGACTTTATAGGAATTCCACACACATCTCCATTCTTGGTGTTATCAAAAAAACAAAAAAAGAGGTCTCTTCATAATGTTTGCTGAATGACATGAACAAATATTCAACTCAATCGACTTTTGAACATGCAAGACAGATTAGAAGGGCAGTAGTAAAAGCAGTGCGAAGCTGGCAGAAAACAAAAATTAGAAACAAAGTGGAGCTGCTTGACTTTGGAGATCAGTACTACCAGTGTATGCAATGTCTTCTATTCAGATGTGAAGTGTAACACAAACGCTTTCTCTCAGAAGTTGTACATCTTATGATCATGTGCACAGAGGCATTTACACGAGCATTGAAGCCACAAATGGCACCTCCTCGCTACCTCCAGGGAGCACCAGCCAACATACTGCGTCCTCATTGGTCAAAGCCACATAACTCGTTTCCTGGTGCTGTGCGGTCAGAAGCATTCTAATGTAGTAATCACTGATTTTGGTTAAACATACCAAAAAAATTGAAATGTTAATTAAAAAATGCTAATTTATTGGGGAGATAATTCAAGAAAATGCCATATTTTCATTTCAATTGTTAGGAATTGTTCTTGTTGTACTGGTCAAACATTGGGTAGTTGCGTTACTTGTAATGACATAGTAGTTGCTGTGTGATCAAAGTGCATTTAATGCCCACGGTGCTGTCTGTCGGTATGCATCGTTTCATTCTTAACCACCTTTTTGCTAATAATCCAGGACATTGCTCCCATCGGTTCCTCTCAGTCCCTGTCTTTCACCCTGCCCCCACCACCAAACTGAACACAAAGAAGTGCGGAGCTGCGGCAGCAGCTTTAGTCTGATGCTAATGCTCATCCTCTCCCCTGCATACCAATGTGTCCTGACCCTGGCTCGCTGTTTGCTTATCAGTGGATCTCCATTTGCTTTCAGGCTATTGACCGCAATTTAACTTGACACTTGTGACTGCTAACCAAGGAACTGTTATCATATGCATTATTCAATGCAAACCCCCCCCCCCCCTTTTCTTTAATACAGTAAATGACAACCCAGTGTCCCTAACAAGAGGACTGTCCTAAAGTAAAAGGTTCAACGATGTTTCTATGTAGTACGGGGGGGGGGGGGGTTCTACGAGAACTATTTTTGAGTGGCTGAACAAGCCTAATGTTGCTGGATCACTGGTGTGGGTGACAGAATATTAGATTATTTTTGCCTGGCCTTAATTGGTTCAATCTTGAGCCTGTCAGTCCTGATTAGTGTGTGAGCAGTAAAGAGCCTTGGCTGCTGGGGAAAGGTTTTATTTTCAGAATAAAACGCTCCTCTATCTGGCATTTGCGCTGGTCATTACCCTTCCACTCGCTACCCTCACACCTCACACTAGTAGGTCTGTGTATTGATCCTAGGATAATAGCAAATCACCCAACTGTACTTCCTAGGTTAAGCTGTAAATAATATGGTCACGGTGTTTGGGGGGGGGGGGGGGCTAGAGAATCAATGTACATTTAAAGGTCAAATCCTTATGTTCTCGATGTCCAAGATGAGGAAGACATCCGTGTATCTTGCTCAGCCGTGTAGGATATATATTGGAGATTGACCACAGAGGAAAGATGCTTAGTGGGTCCCACAGGTTGAGGATTTATTTGTGGTGGTTGGCCCTTGTGTGGGCGGGAGCTCCAACATACCAACAAGCTGCAAAACATAATTTCATTTACGAGCTAACGTCTGATTTTAAAGAGGTCATTTTATATATAATTGAACATAAATTCACCACTCCGGCAGTCTTCTCAATCAGTACACTCTTGTAGTTGCATTTACACACACAATGGATTTTGGAATAAATTTAAGCAAAATAATCCCTTTTTAGCTGTTATTTTTTTGGGGGGGTGGGCCACCCAAATTAATTGTTTAAACAGGAAACACTGAAGCCTTTGATCTGATAGCAGATTATAGACGTGCCGAATTGACTGAATTGTTTAATGTATTAAAATGTGTGTAGACGGAATCTAATTTCGGGGCTTTTCTTTCCTCAAGAGAGGATTTTTATTTCTATTTTAACATAACATAATTAGATTTTGGTCTTGGTGGTCTTTAATGTATAGTAGTTCTCTCAACATAATGAAACTGTAAAACAAAGAACATTCTGATAATTGGTCCAATAGTTTGCCCCAGTGATTGAGTGATTGCTTTATAGTGCCCGTGGTGCAGTTAGAAACATGATTTCAAATACTTACTTTTTAAAAGAAATAAGACATAAATCACATTTCTCCACTTAATATATCCCTTTAGCAGAGGGCCATTTGGCGAAGTATTTTCTCTGTGCTGCAGAATATAGAGACAACGTGGAGACAAATCTCAGTTTACAATTTTCTCGTTTAAAATGATTGCCCCTGCCTGATATGAACAACCTCGCATTCATAGAAAAATAAATTTGTGACTATCTCTACATCACCCCTAAACTGTCATGTCCAACCTCTGTCATTGTAGCATTCAACATTTCTCACATATTGTCAAATCTCACTTGTAGAAATTATGCTTTCTTTTTTTTTCTTTTTTTTTACATAAACTGGAAAAAAATTAAAAAAAAAAGCAAACCCTGTATCATCTGAAATGGTCAAATGGCAAACCATATGCTCTAGGAATAAATAAGAGTTCATACTTCACACTCTTTGTAAGGCAGTTGCTGACACTTGCACTGCCCATAGCCGTTTATGATCACGAGGGCCCCTTCCTCATGGCTGGGCTCGTACTCATTGTAGGGTACCTGTGTAGCTAGGTCTGCCATAGGCTGCCGCTGCTGGGTCCTCAGTTGTCTGCGCTTCTGAATAGCTGAACAGTGGCGTATCCGGCGCAGGGTGGGCGGGCAGCACTTCCGTGAGATATACACAATGAAAATTATGAAAAAGAATGAAAATAGAAGGGCCATAGTTCCGATGATGACCCTATGAGTCATTACAGTGTTGTCCATTGCAGAGGAGTCCTCCGTCACAGCCACCTCCTCCAACGTAGCGGTAGTCGCTTGAGCGGTGCGTCGAGTCGTCGTCGTCGTCGTCGTCGTTGTGGTGGTGGTGACTGTGGTAAAGCTCCCAAAATCCTCTGCATAGTCCTGCGTGGGGGTTGGCTGCATAATTCCAAACAAGGAGCTTGTGAATTCTGCAGCGATGGTAGCGTCTGTGGTCGTGCTAATGGTCTGAACAACTGGCGCTGAAAAATTCTGGCAAAGCTGGAATCCATAAACGGCATCGAGTATCTCCTCCCCTTGGGCATACTCAGGACTGTGGCAGAGAATGGAATGTTCCCACCTTCCCTTAAAGGTGCTTAGCCACGTGGCCAGAGAGCAAATCCTTTTGGTACATTCCCAATAGTTGCTGGACAGCCCAATAGTACCCAGGGACTGCCACATATCCATGACCTGGGGGTCCAGACTGCTGAGTTTGTTGTTATCCAGCAGCAAGATCTTTAAATTTGGCAGCGTTTGAAACACATCAGATGTCAGGACACGGATTTCATTTCCCGTGAGGTCCAGCTTCTCTAAAGTGGTCCAGGTCCACTCCATGCCGCACGTCAAGTTGCTGATTTTATTCCACTGCAGATAGAGAAACTGGAGGGCAACAAGGCGAGGGAAATGGGCCAAGTTGATCTTGGTCAGCTGATTGTGTTCCAAGTGGAGCTCTTTAAGCTTAATGAGCCCCGCAAATCCATTCCGGGCCAGACTGCGCAGGCGGTTGCTGCTCAGGCCTAAATATTCCAGGCTGCGGCAGTCCCAGAATGCACGCACAGGTGTTGTGCGAAGCAAATTGGAGCGCAGGTGGAGTATCTGGAGCTTTCTCAGTCCATGAAACAGTTCTGGTTCCAGCGCAGTCATCTGATTGAAGGACAGGTCTAGTATCTGGAGGTTGATGAGGTGGATGAAGGTTGTGTTGGGCAACTTGGTGATACGATTGGAGCTCAGGTTGAGGTCCTTCAGCTTGTAGAGGCCTTGAAAGGCGTCCTCTTGTACCGTCGTGATCTGGTTGTGGTCTAGATGTAGCCAGGTAAGCTGGCTGAAGCCGTAGAACTGATCGGGGCTGAGCTCGGTGATGCTGTTGTGGCGCAGCGATAACCCCAGGGCCCCCTTGTCCACAGCGTCTGGGGGCGCCTGAAGCCCCTGGGTGTCGCAGTAGAACTGCAGGTCCTCACAGCGGCATTTTTGAGGGCAGGTTGTGCACGATGCAGGAGGCAGCAGGCACACCAGGAGCATGCTGATCACACTCAGACACAGAGCCGCTGGTGCAGGTCCCACCAATGGCCACCTTGAATGGAAACCTGGGTGGGTTCAAAGATAACAAAATGAACTGCGGGGCGCGAAAGCTTATCTCTGCAGAGCACTTATTACTAATTCATGGTGACGATTGTGCTTTTCCAGGGTGCTCTCACACCGCAGTTTGGATATTTTACATTGACTTTAACTTTCACTGTACGTAAGCAGGATTTCTTTGAGCTTCGCTTTAATGGAGATGCCATTTAGTTTGGCATTTAAAGATCAATTACATGCCAGAGCTGGACTTTGTTTCGACGTCCTTGCTATTTATATACAGCCTTTTCTGTTCACATTTCGTCTTCAATGAGTATTTTTCTCCTGATTTCTGTCGTTCATCATTTATTGCGTATGTTCCCCCCCCCCCCCCCTCGTTTCACCAGCTCAAATATGCAGATGCCCTTTTGAATTCTTTTTCTTGAGTCATCTTCATCACTTAAGAGGTCTGCCATACAACACAAATGGTATTTAAAATGGATATAGATATCTCAACTAGTATGACGGCGAAGAGGGAAAAATAAAGGGCAACTGCAGTAAATGGACGAGGCTGAAGAGCTTTTAGTCCTCAGCCTCCCTCTTACTTGTATCTCCTATTCATGTCCCGACCCACCGTATAAAGAGACTAACTTACCCATTCTTTTGTGCACATCGGAGGCTGCATTCAACTGTCCTTTTCCGCAGACTCTTGGAGCAACCAGATGGAAGAAAAATCCAAAGGGAAAAAACCCTTTTGAGTAAGCACAAAAGGAATCAGCCTCTTTGGAAATAAAGCAATTCTGAGCCCACCCAGATGAAACAAAATATGAAATTCCATGTCCCGAGATGATGTTTATTCCTGTGATTCTGTTCACAGTCCTTTCTTTAAAATCCACGCTCAAAGAAAGGGTCGAATCTTTTCCTTCATCCTACGAAATCCTTGAAATAAATATTTATATAATTTTTTTTTTTAAGTTGATCAGTTGCATCCAGAGCGACTCCGGTGAACAGAACCCCCCCTCCTTCCCTTCCTCTTTTTCTTTTTTTTACCCTTTTGTTTCCCTTCCACCGCAATGATGTCAGCTCAGCTGGTTAATTGGAGATCAAGCGCCCCCCCCACCCCTGTTTTTTTCGCGGCCGCGGTCTTCCAACCCTAACTTGTTGATGGCAGCCAGAGATCCTGCTTCCGACGCCGGCTCAGTCTCGGCATAGCCTCTGCAGAGCTGTGTGAGCGGAGCCCCTCGTCTGCTAGCTGAGGCGCAGGGAGAGAAAAAAGCCGAGCATGGAGCCGGGGATGTTATTCTGTGCTTTTTGTTGCAGCCACTCACTGCTACAGAGTGGTGGCAGCCTGGCGTCGATCATCACTACTGTTTCTCTCTCTCTTTTTCTCTCTCCCACACTCGCAAACACCCCTCTCGCTCTCTCTTGCTCAGTCACTTGCTCTCTGCCTCATACGCACTGCTTGTGCACCTCGGTCTTCCTCCACCTCCCTCTTTGCATCCCCGCTTCCCTCCCACTGGCTCGTCACCATCAGAATATTGATATCTTGAACGTGTTGCGGCAGCTTGCTGTTGAAATTAAACACGGCTGTAAATCTCCGCCTCGCCTCACTGCTGTTCTGAATGCGCCGTGTATGGATTGCATGCCGGAAACGTGCACCAAACATGGTGTGTAAAATACACCAAGCTCAATATAGTTCGTAACATGTGGCTCCAGACAACATGTGCATGGGTGAGCAGAGACGGGCTGCACTCCCTTATCTCTGTGCAGGAGCCAGTGTGCTATAGCGATGCTGACATATGTGATGTCTGGCACATATTCATAATTTACATATCCTGAGCAGAGGCATGTGATGTATGGCCAGCTGCTCTGAAGCTAAATTAAGCTAGCTTTTAGCATGCAATAGACATGACTCAATACTTTTTTTTTTTTTTTTTATAGATTTGGCAAATTAAATTGAGTTGTGTTTTGAAAGGACATATTTCAGCACCAGCTAGAGTGCCAAACAGAAGGAGGTATCTGTGCTTCAGTGCATGAAAATGCTGACTTTTCCTTAATTATTTAATGTGGGTGGAGACGGGTGTGAGGGTAATTTCAATGAACTCTATTGGCTGCAGCCGAAGACTAGATACAAAAGACAAGATGAAGTACTGCTATCTGGTACTTGGGTACTTTAACTCTTGATGCACCTGTTACAGGCAATACATTGTCCTTAATGGAAACAGAAAAACTACATCACCACTGTCTTCTTTGGCAGTACTGAATACTGAACGACTAACCGAAACAAGTTTTCTGTACTTCAAATCCGTATTTGTTTGGATAACTTGGAAATGATGTTGCTACATTTTTACTTCCTAAATAATTTCATTTCATAATTCTCACGTCTTAAGACAAAAACAACGCCTCTGACTGACTTTCCAGGTCACTTGACCAGCAGTCTGCTGTCGTTCTCCATGTTTATTGTGGTAGACTTCATCTCTGCAGAATGTGAGGAGTATTCCCCTCCATTCGATGTGTACTGGCTTCCCATTTGTGATTCAAGATGTTCGTGAACGTGCTGAAGTATCGCAGAACAACGTCCCAGAACTCCGGGGATCGTTTTCCACTTGAAGCAGACTTTGTTTCCATTGAATATTTCCACAATCCAGTGGTTTTGCAGGAAAGGAATGTTCCTAAATCTGTCCTGAAGGAGATGGATAGAGACTCACTTGAGTATCATAAAAAGATGCCGCAGAGAAACCGACTCCATAATAAGCACCTGAAGAAGTGCTTCAGAACCCTCTGGCGTGGAAATGAAATATAGGCTAGGCGTGAATAAAAGAGGATTGAGAGAGTGAGTAGGGGCAGAGCCGACTAAACCCCGACCACAGCCCTGCATCCAACCAGCACAAAATCGCAAGGGATTAGTGCCGGGGGGAGCTCCCGGCCCCCTAACTATGTACACAACCCCCCGGTGGGCAAAGGGCAGTGGGGGATGGGGCAGGTCAATGCCACCACCATGCATGGTGCTATGTCGCAGTTGATTTGAGCCCAGAGTCCTGCTGCTTCTTTGCCTTTTCTCTGTTGCCCTTTGCTGTTCATCTAATTTAGCTCTAATTTTATTATTCTCCAGTGTCTGTCCATCTGTCCATCTCTCACCCGCTCTTTCATTTCCCCCTCTCTTTCTCTCTCTCTGTCTCTCTTGCTCTTTCATTTCTCTCTGTCTCTCTTTGTCTCTGTCTTTCTCTCTCTGTCTGTCTGTCTGTCTTTCTCTCTCTCTGTCTGTCTGTCTTTCTCTCGCTCTCTTTTTCTCTCTCTCCATCCTTCCTGAAACTTTTGGATTTTCCATCTTTGCAGAATGTGCCGGAACATGCCTCTGCTCTGTCGTTGGGGCTTTGACTGCTGCATGATGTTAAACTGTGTGACTACTGCCAACAGTGTTGTCCATGTGTAGTAAATTGTAACCTTTTAATCAACACACGTTTCTCATTGAGTATGAGCAAAATGCTCCTGTGGTGAAGAGATTAGTATTGTGTTTCCAGTGTTACTTTACATTATTATTGCTCATGGGGATTAACCTTTTTACAGCTGCTTTTATTATTTGTGAACAAAGAATAGACCGATAGTGTCTCCAGGGTTTCTGCCAGAGGACCGATTCATCTCTTTGGCCAGTTCATCTGGCAGTGAGGATATTTTAAAACTATCTTTATTAGTGGAACTGGGCTCCACTCATAACACAGGGACATGCGTCATTGTGTTACACAGAGGCTCCACACGCATGATGACTTTTGCTGAAATATCTGTGTGCCTATGATTAACTCCCGATAACAATCTCAACAGTATTTTCAACAATTCGTACTGACGTTGGCCTATTAAGCCCCAAAAAACACAAGTGTTATTCAGCTATACAAATGGCTTCTTACATCAGAAAATAGTTTTGGCAACAGTGGATTAGAAATGTATTAAAAAAGAAAAACACCAAAACAAACCTAGAATAAGAATCTGTTATTAGAATAAAGGAATCTCAGAGCTCGTGTCTATCTCATTAAGAAACCAGAGCCTGCCTCACAGGTTGACTTAGTTGGTGTACTGTAGTAAATTGTACAGTGTTCTGTCCAGAGAGCTGTGGTGACAGGAAGGCTTGAATGGGAATCGGATCGCCTCTTTTGATCCCCGCATGAATACAAATTCAAATTTGAAATGCAGTTTGCCACAGCAGCAATTAAAAGGGTGTGGTGCCCATGAATTATAGCACTGATATAGATGCAAATCAGCTGCTTTTTAACCCAAAGCAGCTGTGGCTTTTACTGATGTGTGTGTGTGTGTGTGTGTGTTAATTGAAACGGTTGGCCGCTGTTTGTTTGTGTGCTCCATGGTTCACTAACAGTGCAACCATTCAGGAAAATATTCCAGAGTTCCAACAAAGGGCAATGTGGCGCTTTTGACAGCTGCTCTACCGCAACGAATAAAAGGATCACGGATGCATCACGATGGGTATCTGCTGAACACTAGATGCACGACAATGTGTATATATACACATATACACATATACACACACACACACACACACACACAAACTAATTTATTCTCTCCGGCACCTTTTACATCTGACAGCAACTCTTTGCAAAAACAACACAAAAATGGCCACAAATTGCAGTTCTTTTAAAAATAACATTATTTGGTTGTCTAACTACTAATATTCCAAAAAACAAAAAGCTAAACAAAAAAACAGCACCCACAAAAGATGAAACGAATGTGCATGACTTAAAACCACAAACATTCTTTAAACTGATTTTTGAAGCTACGTCATGTGTGCAGAATTGTTCCTGTAAATTTAATCGTGTGTGTGTGTGTGTGTGTGTGTGTGTGTGTGTGTGTGAGAGAGAGATAAGCATCCACAACAAATATGTTGCAATGTTGTTGTCACTGCCCCATGCTCATCACTACTTCCTGTCTCATTGTTCATGTTTCAGGCTGGAAGGAAGGACAGGAGTGATGCTCTGAACACTGCCATCGACAGGATGACCAAGAAGACCAGAGACCTCCGCAGACAGGTATTTCTTCCTTTTTTTTTCTTTCTTTTCAATCATCCCGATTGGTGGCGGCAGAACGTGGATGATCAAGTTACCCGACCGTATTTATAGTCACGGCAAAGCCGGCGCTCTTATGTGAACAAGTGTGGCAAACAAACATCACTCCTCTTTTTAAAGTACTCAGCCAACGGCAATCAATTGAAGTCAGTTGGTGTTGCTCACTGTTATTTATGGCCGCGTGCACCAGATGGGTAAGGTTACGTGTATATGTGTGTTTATAAATATTCATGCACCAGGGGGATGCATTATGTTAATAGTCCCTTTCCCTTTTTTTTTTTTTTCATGTCTTACCTCACAGCTGCGTAAAGCTGTCATGGACCATGTCTCCGACTCTTTCCTGGAGACCAACGTCCCCCTCCTGGTCCTGATCGAAGCGGCCAAGAATGGCAACGAGAAGGAAGTCAAGGAATATGCCCAGGTGTTCCGCGAGCACGCCAACAAGCTGATCGAGGTAATGTAGGATTTTGAATGCCTTCCGAGTCGAAAACCAAGTGTGACCCAAATACAGAACATTCCTATTTTTTATTTATTTATTTTTTTAATTTTTTTTCCTTTTCCATCCCACCAGTTATGGACATTTTAGCTTAGCTTGTAGTAAACATCCTCCAGCTTCTCTGTTCTCTCTCTGTGGGGTTGTTCACAGAGATTCCCTTGTGATGCAACTTACGGATCACAGCGCCTCAGAAAACAGCAATCTGGGATCTTTCTCTCCCCCCCCCCCCCCTAATGAAAACAAAGATGTAAACATTGAAGTTATTTTTTCTGGTTGCTGTCTTTGTCTTTCACTCTGTTATTTCCACACACACACTCCCTCTCAAACACACACCTTTAGTAAATGTAAGGTGATGCTGGTTCTAATCTGATGCTACAGTGAGCAGACAAGCCAAACATTGCTGTGTGGTCACAGCCACAGCCTCACATTTTCAAGCAGAACCAAAGGAATGAAATACCCACCTGGGAAAATGTTGTCCTTGCCACAGCAGATTGATGTACTATTCCTTATTGGACAACTCCACACGTGTGCTTGGTACCTACGGAGATAAATACCTTTTAAAAGGGACCTAATGCATCCTGCTTCTTACCCCTCCCTGTGGTCGGTCTCATGTCTTAACAGAGGAAGGCGGCCACATGTTGGACTTTGATGGGTAGCAAGCTGACAGAAACCTGAGCGATCCTCAGTAGTGGTATTTCCTTCAATTTGGTGAATGCCCGAGTCAGAGCATGATATGCTGACATTTGAAAGTGACTTCCTCCCATGGGCAGATGACCACGAGTGTAGCTGGATCGATTGGCAAGTATAAGCGTTCGCTGTGGAAACCGCTGAAGCATCGGAGGGAAAAGGGGACCACTCTCGGGAGTAGACCCTGAAGGCCCCAGTGTCAGAAGTGGCATTAAAGTCTGACATTGGTGGACTCCCCTAATGCTGAGGCACTGTGGCTTTTATCTGCTTCTAACACTCAGATGGGATACACTAAGAAGATTAGAAATTACTCGTTAAGTATAAATGGCGTTAAATTGAAAATCCATTTTTTTTTTTTGTCATCTATTTAGCACAGCTGGATGTGCTCGAGTTGTGTGGTGGCAATCTGCTTAAATGTGTTTTTTTTTTTAGCTGAACTGTCATAGAACAAGCAAACTGTCCTCAATAAACCAATTAGATGTCAACAAACTGAAGGAAAGATGCACTGCAATAGTTGTCACTATCTAAACGACGAGCTTGGTCTAATTCTTACAGAAATATCCATCAGCAAAACTACCTTTTGTCACACATAAATCAGGAATGGTGGTTACTGGTTACATATTTATTTTTAATTTTGGATATTGTGTGATTTTGTGGGACCAAGCAAACCCTATAGTAAAGCCTCCAGTACATACATTTGTCATAATATTCTATGTACTCCTGAGTGTAGAATAAGACCCCATAAACCCATATAAAGGCCCAGTCATGCAAAAAGAAGAAAGAACTGTGATATACCGTGAAACCGCCAGAGTCTTTAAAACAGTGAAACAGGTTTCTCACAGTATGTTCAGATGCTAAGTGACTTCCAAAAGCAGCGTAGAGACATGAGCACATGCTGCGAGTCGTTCTTGAGGCAGGAAATGGAGGCAAAGGTGCGTCAGCGGGGCTTAAATGTAGTGATTATGTCATCAGCAAACGGACAAATGCGTGCTTTTTCGGAAATACAAATCCTGTTTTAGGGTTTCAGCAACACATTTCAAGTTCACCACCTCTTTGAGTAACTTAATAGAGTAGTGCTAATTACCTGGATCATAATATGTAAATATGCAGGAGATGGATGCTATAATGCCCTTTTGTTGCGGCTCAGAATTGCGATGTTTTAAGGAGCAGCTAATGTTTTATCATTTTAGATTAACGTCTAGCTTTTAGCTGATATAATTGCCAAAGTACACAGTCAAGCACGAACATTCCCGTAGAGCAAGCCATCATTAATGCAGTCGTCTTAGCAATAAATAAGTCAAAGTAGCTCTTTACCTCTCACTGAAGTGATTGACATTTCCCTTCAAATGCATCAAAGCGGGAATCAAACGGGTACTCTACGTTGCTCTGGAAGAGATCCTTCTTGCCAAACTCTATAGATGTAAATGAAGAGTTGCGATGTCCAGAGCGAGGAGTAGCAAACGGGTTTGGTTGTTCGTCACATAAGGAATGAATATGTTCTAAATGTAAAATGTCCCTCAGCAACAGCAGGAGCCACAGCTCTGTTTGCATGACATCATGAGTTGTGTATGTGAAGGCTGCCTGAAGGCAAATGGTCCATTAGTTCACACACGTTTGTTTGAAAGCTACATTACTACTGACCCACATGTATCCATAGGCCTCTTTAAGCAGCTCCTCTCCCCTTGTTTGTCAGAACGTCATGCTTTTTATATCGCGTTATAATGCATAATTAGATGTTTTACTTCATGGGTTTCATTTACTAGAAGTGTCAAATGCTGCTTCAGACAACAGCCTGTAATGTACGAGGACAAAGTTCACTTCATCTCTAACTTAATTAATTGAAGATTAGACCTGACAAGACACCGTAGCCCTTTGCTCTTTGGAGTCTGCCGTAAAATCTTCCACATTGCGTTTTTCTAATTTATTCACTCTGTTATTATCTCCTATCATGCGATCGGTCACGTGTGCACGCGTCCGTGAGTGATTTCATTCAATCGCACAATACAGCAGGCGTTGTTGCAGACACACCTGGCAGAGATCTACACTCCACTGAGTGCACCTTTCTAGTTTGTAATGTTATCAGTCTGTGTTCAAATGTACTCTCATTTGAAAGGAAACGATGGCAATAAATGTTCGTATTGCCATTTGTCGCAAAATCCGACGGTTTAGTGTTTTAGTGGAAAATAGACCGAGCTTAGTCCTGTTGCCTGGGTGCTCAGCTCTCTCTCTCTCTCTCTCTCTCTCTCTCTCTCTCTCTCTCTCTCTCTTGCGCGCGCCTTCTTTGAGCCTTTCAACCAGGCGAAGGGATGGTAGTGACATTAGATGGGATTGGTTTACATTATTTAGGTACGTTGATGGTTCTTCTGAGTGCACATTCTGTTTTGATTATGAGCTTTGAGTGAAAAGCCGCCATAAGTCAGAGATTTGCTACATGACAAGTCCAGATGCAGAGATGTGCCTCCAATGGGAATGTGGAATCAGCGGTGGAAATTGCCAGAATGGCCCGAATTTCATAAGATGTGTTTACATTTCTTTACTTATTTGATAGATAATGTCCAAGTCTAATGCATTCATAACAAATATATATTGGGGTAAACTGAATCCCTGTCCGTTTTTAAACATGACTCAACTTCTTTAAGTTTCCAACCTTTTTATATATCGAGAGCGACTAAAAAAGGACATGCAGCTCCAGATGTTTACCTCTGACTTTATTCAATACAATGATGACATTGCATATTGTCCTCTCTCCTCTACTACATTTACGATTGTGTATCTAGCCTCCGTTCGGCTTTACATCCCCGAGCGTTCTGTCTGCATTTTTCAAATTTGCTTCATGAAGAAGGATGCGTATTATCCATCATAATATCCGTGACACGCCGTGATTCATTGAGCCTGCTTTTTATTGTATAATGAGATGGTAGCGGTAAACGTGTTTGTCATCTCATCTTTTTGAGTCTAATATCCATAAACACAATATTCAATATCCATCGTCGCACACATAGCATTTCTAAGAAGGCAGTGTGTGCTGAATGGTCGTTAAGGAGATGGTGTGGTAAAAACAAAACGGTGTGATAAAGCCATAGGGGGAGAGTTTATAGGATCCTCCTTCCTTCGTGGATCTGCCGAGACAGCATAATTGAATCACTCGTCCGTACCCATTTCAAGTCGTTGTCATTGAATGAAAGAAAATAGGTTTTCATAACTTTGTAGCCTAATAAAGCTGTTATTGTGTGTGTGTGTGCATTTAGATATTTGGTAAACTCCGACTCCCCCAACACTTAAAGAATAGCACGACTACAGGACGGCGAGTGGGAATGCATTACTTGACTTCGGGGGGGGGGGGGGGGTCTTCCTCCGCAGTCTCTTTATGCGGGAAAACGGCTGCTTTTACCACCAGCATCGTGGCGCATGTGTAAGATCATGAAAAGTGAAAATAAAGTGCCCGTTGGTCTTTATATAACCTCCCTCTCGTGTTGCTGGAGTCCCTCCCTGTGGTCCCCCGCATGCGTTTGCATAGTGATGTAGGATGTTTATATCAATGTTTCAGTGCTTCACCAGCGCGGTGGAATAAGTGCTTCTCATCAGCAAAATTGCTTCAGAAATTCGGAGGGGCGGGCATCTTCTTGTAGAACCGGAGAGACTGAGGAGGAGGCGAGGGTTCTTCACGCTCACCCACACCGCCCCTCTCGCACCCAGCCGTGTATTCCACTGCCAATTTAATTTTTCCCTCCTTATTATTTCCATAGCTTTGGCCCACATTTCTATTCCATAATAATATCATTTTATCTCTCTATCTGGGGATCTCAGACCCCAGTAGGGTTCATTAGGGCCAACGCCAGCAGTCAGAAGATCACGCATGTTCAGAATAAAGCTCATTAAACCTATTCAAATTAATACCCAAGCTGTGCATTATAGACATTCATTTGATCAAACGCAACTTTCAGCTTTTTTTTTTGTGAACCCATGTAATGTCTAAATGCATTTAGACATTACATAACTGACGGTTCTGTTGCACTCAGTTTTATGTTCTGTTAAAACTGCGGTTTTGTTTACAACCCGTGCAATAGTCTCACTGCTTATGTTGCTGCATGACCCAGATCTCAGTAAATGACTCAAATGTGACGGATTCGTCACTGAAACTACGCAAATAAGACCCAGGTTGTTAAAAAAAACAACTAAACTTTTCAGCCCTTGTTCCTGCTGCAGTGCAATCAAGAGTTTATTTTTACCTTTTTAGTTGATTGTGGTTCAGCACATTTTCTGTCTGTAGGATTATCCCGCTTTGGCATTGTTCCTCACATCCCAGGCATTCTGCTTCAGCATTGTTGCCAGCATATCCCTACCAACAAATGGGAATATTCAAAGTCTCTGACCTACATTTTTCTGAATATGAGTAGATGCATAATGTTACTCGGGGAAGATGCTAGAATATTTAGAAATGTTTGTACGAGAGCATGATTCGTTGGCCGGTACAAGAAAATATACTCGCAAAACATCAGTGTGTGCGTCCGGAAGGAAGACTTTCTTAGCTCAGCACTCCGGTTCTCACTACATTTATTTTTATTTTTTTCTTGAAAGTATTTTCCTCTCTGATTCAGGAGCGTGATGTCAATCTGTTAGTGATTAAGTCACTAAATAGCCATGCTCTTTGAGTCTCCAGCTGCAACGTGCATTCACATTTGGAGAAATGTACTATTCTCTCCGTGCTATCATATCGTGCCATTTTGCAGCTTTATGAATTAATCCTCAAGCTTTGGGTTTGTAGTCCACAGGGATCGGTTGTACTGCAGAGCTGCTCCATTTCTGATAGCTCAATGCATGCTGGTAGCCTGGGTTTGGGATTCTTCTCTAAGATTAAATATGCTGTCTTTGTTTCTCTCTAAATAAAGTCCTTGTCTTTGGCTAACAAAGAGACGTGTGTGTGTTTTTCGTTTAGGTGGCCAACCTGGCATGCTCCATCTCCAACAATGAAGAGGGAGTGAAGCTGGTCCGCATGGCAGCATCTCAACTGGAAGCTCTTTGCCCCCAGGTACGTGGCTGTTTTGCCCCCCAAATTCCACCCGCCTCATTGATTGTGCACCTCTTTGGGAGGCTTCCACATTGTCTATTAGGACTCAAACTGTTTAGGCATACTTACTTACACTTAAGTGTTTTTATGACCAGATTAGGATATGCTTCTCCAGCTTTGGTCTCAGGGTGGTATGAATACACCGTCAGCTAACTTCTTTCAGTGTTCTGCATTTGTGCTAGAAAGGTGGTGCAGTGAACTGGACATAAATCTGTGTGTGGGTCTTTCGTCCAACAATGTATTCTTTTTAACAATACTAGAATATGGGTGATGGTCACAAACGGGCCTCAGGGTAGCGACAAGGGCACGCCCCCCACAGGTGTCCCACCTAGTTTTTGTCGTGGGTTGGAACATACAACCACGCCAAATGTAACGCTACCTGGAATTGAATTCCACGTCGTAAATTGCCTCTGTGCAACCTGTTTACCCCCCTTTCCCTCATAAAGAGGAAATAACTATCTCTCTTTCTATTTACATTCATGTGAATTAAATTACAGGACATTGTGCATACACTATAGTGGATATAGAGGGACAAATTGTGTAGAGTAAGAATAAAAGCATCAATTGAGCCCATCTTTTCGTCATCCTCACCATTTTAACCGTCCGTCTCTCATCTGTTCCCCTGAGTGTTACCAGCTCCCTCCACTCTGCTGCCACTGCTGCTTTTTAATCTCCCCTAATGACTCCCATTCATCCTGAGCTTTGAAATCCACAGATGTTGCGTCCCCCCCAAAACAAGCAGCTCTTAGTTTCATTTCATTCAATCCTTCAAAAAACACTCGGCGTCTATAATCATTCCTTCGAATGAATTGGCTTCATGCTGCAGTCCCAACATTGAGGTGGGACAGTGGGTGGTGGTGGTGGGGGGGGCCTTGGCACAATCAACCTGTGCTAATGTTGTGGCTGAGGGCTGTGTCGTAATGGAGCTTTAATGGCTGTAATTGGGTGATTACAGGTGATTAATGCAGCGTTAGCCCTCGCTGCCAAGCCCAACAGTAAGGTGGCCCAGGACAATATGGATCTGTTCAAGGAGCAGTGGGAGAAGCAGGTCCGCGTCCTCACCGACGCCGTCGATGACATCACATCCATTGATGACTTCCTCTGCGTGTCTGGTGAGTTGTACTTGATCACTGATGCTTTAGAAATTCTTTCAAATGTATTTTAAATGTGAAACCTGACAGCGGAGGATGGGTTGGGCTTTAAGATGGATTTGCAGTCGGCACTTATCTGTGGTATTAGTCCTTTCTGATGAGAGCCATACAAACGGGGGCTGATTGGGCTCCGCAGAGGAAAGCACTGAAGCGTCGGAAGCACTCCGTCTGAAATTGACATCCTGTCACGTGTGTTAAAGCGCACAAATGGTTTTGTCGGGGATACCCTCAAAGCGTTCTCGTTAAGCATTAAGCAGAGTGACTTCTCTCACCTCCAGCCAAGGACAGACTGTAATTTACATAGCGGACATTTGCATTTTACAGGCTCCACATCAATAAGCAGTCTGAGAATTTGTCTTCCGCCCTCCCCATCCTACACTTGAGCCTCCCAGTGGCCCTCTTAATTTGAGGACTATGCAAACACAGACTGAAGGCTGAGGATTTCCTGACTAACGGCATTTTCTCAGTTATTGCTAGTGCAAACATGTTCCATCTTTGATTAAAAGCAAATCTTGGGCGAGAACAAATCCAAACACAGTTTTAACTTCCTCGCTAACCACTCTGCATCCAGGCCGGTTTGGATTCAAGTGTTTGCGTAATGCTAAATTATACACTGCTAACTGTTGCATTGTTGTTATGTCCCCCAGAGAACCATATCCTGGAGGATGTGAATAAGTGCGTCATCGCTCTGCAGGAGAAAGATGTCGACGGTTTGGATCGCACTGCTGGCGCAATTCGAGGCCGCGCCGCCAGAGTCGTCCATGTGGTCACTTGCGAAATGGACAATTATGAACCTGGAATCTACACCGAGAAGGTCTTGGAGGCCACCAAGCTCCTCACTAACACAGGTAACACAGAAACTGAGTTATGTAACGAGGCCAAAAACCATTTACATACACTTAAATGATTTGACTCTGTGTATGAAGACGATTACAAACTTCATAACTCAGACTTGGGCACACCTGGATTTCTTCTCCAGCTTTTGAATTATTTTAGCATGTTCTGCCAGAGTTCTTTTTATTGCTTTAATTCTGCACATGCACGAGAAAAGCTTCCGGGTGCATTCTAAAGGGAGACGCTATGCTTTATAGCAATGCAACTATATAGAGTATATGAAACCAGCGCGATGAGAAAGAGGGTCAATCATTCCCATCTATGTCAGTGAGGAGAGGGCGTGGTGAGCATTTTGCTAATTTTAGACTCTTCATTATGAATTCAGCATGTGTCAAATTAGCGGAACACGTTGTGGGATGAGTGTGGGTGGCTCTGTGTCCACTCTACGCCGGATGCAGTGTGTAGTGTTTCAGCCAAAGCCACACCCAGATCTGTCGACTCAGTTATTTCTCAGAAGTCTGCTCTTAAAGAGCTTTTTTGTCTTTCCTGTGGATGCTGTTTGAAGTTTGAATGTTATTGGTAGTTATTAAAAAAAAGCAAAACATTATTCAGATGCCTCCTAGAATTGTTCCAGGAAGTGCATTTTTTTCTGTTACAGCCTTACTTGTATTCATACGCTGCATTGTGAGATCCGACTCGACTGACACTACTGATCTGCACAGTCGGCACCGCTCAGTAGCCCCCCCCCCCCGAATATCTTAACCCAAGCTATATCAAAGACGTTGTTTTTGTCCATATTCTGTGCTAGCTCATTATCAGCCAGTATCTGTGTTAGCTTCCATCACTAGCAAGCTAACAAGTCGGCAGAAGGATTTGTTGGTTGTCAGATTTTGGAAACGGCTGGGCCCTCTTGAGGGTGAGCCCCATTAAAAGATCCTGATATGCAGGCTGTAGCTTAAGTCTGATGTTTTTCTGTGGCTGAGCTCTGGAGACAAAGAAGACAGTCGTGAGACTTTCTGTCACATTTTCTCATGTCGTCTACACACAAAAAAAAAGTGATGGAATTCAGATTCAAACTCAACAGAGTCGCTCTTTAATGTCGAATTTCTGCACTGACGCGCACCGTCAACGGTGTGACGCATACAGGCAGATATCTGTGCACCAGTAACCAGGCGAGAGTCTTCAGAGGTTTACTTGGGGTCAAGTTTAAGAAACTCATCAAAATAGGATGTAGTTTCACTGGTTTGAAAGCTTTTCTAAGTCAAAGTAAAAATATCCTTTCCTTTTTAATTAAAAAGAAAAAGTAACTGGTAATTGTATTTAAATGTCTGATGTTAAATGCCTTGTTCATTTGTTAAGAATCCAAGTTGCAAAAAGTTAATTACATTGACTAATCCAAAGTATGACTGTATTATACCACACACTATAATAATAATGATAAAAACGGCAATATTTGTCTTAATTAGATGGCTGACTGAGTAGAAAATGTTGAAAGCAGTAAAAAATCAATCGCATGGTGTCTCCAGGCTTCTGTTTAAATACACATTGTGGTGGGTTTGGTGGGATTGCGCCACTGAGAGAAATAAAGATGCAACTAAAAGGAAGCTGCAGCCCTGGAGTTCATGAAAGACATTTTGGCTGCTTCTTTTGTCTTTTGAATGTGAAAGATTTGAAAGACTCATCAGTAATAGGTTGAGGGGAAACGATCGCTGTGACTGTAACAATCAAAGTGCTGCCAGATTTTTCAATTTTAACATCACTTTCCACACAGAAAGCCTGCAGGTCACAAACGCTCTGCAAGCACAGAACCCAAAGCTCGTTTATTATTTTATTTTTCTCTTTCCCTCCTCCTGCTGCTCTCTGCCTCCACATCTGCATCCTGGCATCCATGCCTCTCCCACGAAGGCTCAGCTGAATCCTTAATACTGAATTTAAAATAGTATTAAAGCAGATGTTGCTGGAGAGCCCTCTGGAGCTGTTATTATATCGTCGATGGGGCAGAGCACATGCCTACTGGGAGAGCTTTGTGAAACCTAACCTTTTCTATTTGGGGAAAAACTCTATTATGCCAAATCTGGGATATATATATAGATATATATATATATATATATATATATATATATTCCCCCGGGCACTTTGTTCCTTATTTCTCATGCAACCCAAGAAGGCAGGAAGTAAGCCGACCCACAGTGCACAATTCCATCTGTCAAAAGCTGAACGTAATAACTGCACTTTTTAATTAAGCATTTAGAGGCCGCTATCTTCACTGGCCTTACTAGTATCTTTGAGAGGATCATTTATTATAATTTCAGAAATGATTTTCTCAGTTTATGTCAAGTAGCTTTTGAGAGCCTTCAACCTCAGGCCGAATGGCATCGATATGAACTAGTGAGGAAGCTGAGCCGAGGTATAACGCGTGCCGTCCCTCACTCGGTGTATGCGTTAGCTGGCTGTTCTTTAATGCCGTGCTTACTTTACTGGTCATTGACCTTTCTTCATGTTTTTTTTTTTTTGGAGTGAATCTTCATCAATGTTTTTCTTTTCCCCCTTCTTCCACCCCCCCCTCCCATCCTTCATCTCTCCTCCGTCAGTCATGCCACGGTTCACGGAGCAAGTGGAGTCTGCAGTGGAGGCCTTGAGCGCAAACCCCTCCCTACCCGTGGATGAGAACGAGTTCATCGACGCGTCCCGTCTGGTATACGATGGCATCCGCGACATTCGCAAGGCTGTCCTCATGATCAGAGTAAGTCGCACTCGTTCTTTTATTTATTTTTTCTGCTTCTGCAGCATAAGATTTTCACCCGGCCGTGAGCTTAAAGCAGATATTTTTAGTTCTGATCGGTATTAACAGGAAGAGGAACCTTTTGAGAGTCCTTGGCTATTGTCGTGTAATGATATATAAATGTTGTGGAAAGCTGTTTCAATGGCTTTTTAAATTCTAGACTAGAATTTATCACAGATATCTGTAAATTCAATCCTTCCTCGACATATATCCACAACGTCATTCTTCCTGTGAAAAGTGACGCTACTTTCGCCATTGATGTGTATTATTGGGCTTTCAATTTCAGATATCCACAATTGCCCTTTCGGTATCTAGAATGAACATTCTGCGTATCTGCAATATAACCAGGACAAGAAATTCTCATTTCAGATATCTACAATCCAATTATTAACGGTCATGATTTTGATTTCATGTATCCAAAATGAAAAAAAAGAAACATTCCAGACATCCATGATGTCATTTTGAATATATTGATAAGGGAAATGTAATTGTGGATATCTGAAATGTTCTTTTGGATAGCAAGAATGAGATGACGGATATCTCTCTCGGTATTAATTGTCAAAATGGCCACTTATACTTTTTAAGGATTTAAAGATATCCTAAATTTACGAGTACACTCAAAGTTGTCGATATTCTGACCTGCTAGTAAGAATACAATTTTGACTTGGACTAGTTATTATGGATAACTCAAACGTAATCACACACAGGAGTGTGGTTTGTTTGAATGCTTCAAACGTCTCGCCATTGCTCCGTGCACCACATGCTGCTTTTAATGGAATGTGAGAATGTGTATACGCGTGCTGTCCGAGAAGCCAATGATTAACTTCTCTCATGCAAGAGCAGACCTAATTGACCCGGCTTGCAATCTAGTGCAACAACAGCCTTAGTTGTCTGTGTGCTAATGGCCTCCGCTTGAGTAGAACTATAACTGAGACGGATGTTAGTTGGGTACCTAATTGACTGACAATGCGCTAACACACACAAAAAAGAAACCCCCACTCCAGTTATTAAAAAAAGAAAGAAATTGATAGTTCTTTTAAGGTTAGGCTTTTAAGTTTAACTAGTTTAACTACACAACATTCGCCAAATTAGATTTTGTATCTATTAAGAAGGGAATGAATTAGTTTAAACATCATCTCATGTGTAACAGCACCAAATTATGTATTTACTCCGTTGAGATACAATGTGCTGGTTGGTTGTATTATGCCATCCTCCATTATTTTCAACACGTAAATCTTTTGAATTGGAATCATTAGTCTTGACAGCACATTTCGTGTTGACAATGGTGCTCCAAAACTGTGCCCAGGCTCACCATGAATAATGCTGCTTCGACAAACAACAACCGAAGGGGGGGGGCATTATGCAGCATTTGCATTATAATAAGCAATTGATTATAAAATGGAGGTTTTAATTAGCGTTCTTGAGTTGGACTGCGAGCCAGAGAACTACATTCACTTTCCCTCTGCCCCAGCTTCACTCTTGTTATCCAGATTGATTAAGCTGTTAACATTGGGCCGGTGGGGCGGGCTGAACACTAGTGTGTGTGTGTGTGTGTGTGTGTGTGTGTGTGTGTGTGTGTGTGTG